AACATATACAGCACAATAGACCCAGACATCATTCTTATCAATGCACATGGTCGGAAAAAGAGCGACAAAATCAAGATCTTTAGCTCCCATGTACATCAATTGAACATACACGACGAGCCATATGACGGAATAACAATAGCTATAAAATGCAACATACAATACAAAATCATTGACAACTTTCAAAGAAACTTTCTTGCAGCAGAAATAAATACAACAAAAGGCCCAATAACTATTGGAACTTCATATTTAACATTCAGAAGGCCAATATTCCCTACAGAGGACATCTTATAACTCGTGAGGCAAAACAATCCAGCATACTTCATAGGAGACCTCAACGCTAAACACACAACCTTAGGACACAATATTAGAAACCCAGGAGGAAAAATCCTCCATGCTCTCATCGAACACGGGACAATAACACACCTCGGGCCCGACTTCGCAACTTACGTATCAGCCGGTAACTCTGGGAAACCAGACATTGTTTTAACCAATAGGCATCACCATCTAAACGTACATCTAAAAGCTCAACCCACAACAACCAGTGATCATCTACCCATAATAGCAACTCTATCCACATCCCCGATACAAATTCCATCAATCCCAAGATTTTCACTCAATAGAGCAAATTGGGAAAAATTTAAATCGGATCTTAGCAACAACGAACCATCACTACTACACAACAAAGACACAACTGAGATTGACAAAACACTGGATACATGGTACAAGGAAGTAATAACAGCAATGAAAAACAACATAACAACATACCGTACATTACCACATGCACAATTAACATATGAAGAGAAAATGATCCAAACTAGATTCACCAATCTTTATGAAAAACAATAGCAAGCTTTAAGAACAAAGCACCTGGCATAAACCAAATTAATAAAATCGTACTACAAAACATTCCTCAGTCTATGATCAAACAGCTTACAAATATATACAATGCCTCACTTGCAACTGGCTTCTTCCCTACCAAATTTAAAATAGCCAAAATCAGACTCACCCCGAAAGCAGGAAAGAATCATACCCAAGTAGACAATTACCGACCTATCTCACTACCGGAAACACCCGGAAAAATATTGGAAAAAATAGTCAACCACAGACTCAGAAATTTTCTAGAACCAAGAAAACAAATATAACCCGAGACAGCGCGGCTTTCGGAAAAATCGAGGAACCAACACAGCAATAGCACTAATATACGAATCAATTGCAAATGCTGCAAGTAACAGAGACCAATGTAATATAATTCTAAGAGATGTGTCAAAAGCATTTGATAAAGTCTGGCATGAAGGATTGAAGTTGAAAATAATCAAATTGGACATGCCTTCCAATATCACAACACTACTATGCAATTTCTTAGACAACAGAAAGGCCAAATTAATCATCGACAACCATCTAGGACAAACTTTTAACCTTCATAGTGGAGTTCCCCAAGGCAGTAATATATCGCCGACATTATGCACTGTATACACAGCAGACATGCCGCAACCAGAGCAATCAAAATATATAGCATACGCAGATGATGTCACACAGATAGTCAGGTACCCGGGAAAATCCAAACAAATGATGGCCATCAGAACAAACAGAGAAATAGAGATAATAAACAACTATGAACGAAAATGGAAGATAAAAACCAATGTCCAAAAACTCAAAATAATTCACATCTCAAAAACAAACCCCTACCCTATTATTGTCAACAACCAACAAATACCATATGCTGCCAACGGAAAAATATTAGGACTCAAGATAACCAGAAACGGAATAATCCCCCACATCAATGAAAAAATAGCAATTGCAAAATCACAACTTACAAAGCTCAGAAGATTCCGCCAATTAAACACCAACACGCAATTGCACCTATACAGAGCACTGATCAGACCACACTTAGAATACCCTCCGATACCTCTGAACACAATCGCAAGAACAAACCAACTTAAATTTCAAGCAGTGCAAAATATAGCCCTCAGAAGAGCGGCAAAACACCAACCACCATACACACAAACAGTACAAGACATACACACAGAACACGGTATAGACCCACTCAACACCAGAATACACAACCAAGCAAATGCAATATGGAAAAAAATCCAGCAAGAACAGGATCCCATACTAAACCAACTAATTGAGGAAAACAACAACACATGGCACAGATGGTGGCCTAGAAGCAGGAAAAATGATAACGAAGAACCAGAGCCTCTATATACACAATAAAAAAGAACCAAAAGATGGGCACAACTCTCCAGTCACACAAGGACCTGGAGGGACCCCACAAGCAAACAAATACCTACAAATTTCACAAATACCCACAATAAAAAACTAGAAACGAAAAAGATGGGGATCATCCCTCCAGTGCCACAAGGACCTGGAGGGACCCCCCCCCTCCCCCTCCTATCATAATATGCCCCAAGGAAACATCAAATAGAACAACTTAGCTTAGCTTGGCTGAGACCGGCCTGCCCTAACCGCATGAGTCCTCTTATGCAGCACTGTTGACGGAAGACAAAACCCGTCTCCGCAAGGTGGATAGCCCACCTGCTGTTAACCTCCTCCTCTATTTCCCACTTGTGAACTTCACCTTGTACTGTACCCTTCTTGCACCCTCACAGCTAATGCTCTCTTCTCTCCATTTCACTGACCGACCACGAGGCATTAGCATTGTTATTAGAACAGGGAAGGGACCGACAGCTCCTTCCCAGAGACAGAAACAGACGTAGACAGACAGGGAGAGACAGAACTCAGAAGAAGACAGGACACACGCTCATTACTAGCCTAGGTTGGAAAGGAGACTTCCCCCCCAAGCTCCCCACTCCCAGCACCGAGTCCCCAGCTAGTAGAGTCCCCCACAGGAGACAGAGTCCAGCCGCACCTGCAGATATTTCCCAGCCACTGGATCTCCCTCAGGTCACACGTGAGTCATTGTCAGAGCGATCTCAGGGTGAGTTACTTGCGGTGGGAAGTGTATCCATTTCATGTTTGTGTCCGAGAGTCATTGTCTAGTAACCTCGATGTAATGATTTATTAATGTGTCCATGCCATTCAGTTAACTAATAAACAGCTGGAGTTAGAGTTGGCGTTTGGAAGATTCCCCCAAACAACACAGTAGCGGTTAAATAACTACTCGGCTACGCTACCAAACTTCCTCACTTTATTATCCTACAACTAATAAATTCGTACAATCTAGAAACATAAACATTTATTAATTTACCTCATTACAATTTCGTCTGTTTAACTCTCCTCCTTTAGTTGACAAACCTTTCTTCCCTTTCTCTTCACCACAATGTTGCTTCACTCTCTTTTACAGGTACTTTAACGGGCAATGTTCGGTGGATTTGGCATCCTGTGTACCGCCGGCAAGGCTGTAGGTTCGTAACACTCGTCTTGTCCGCGGTGCCCACCGTTTCTCTGTGGATGTCGGTCACACTAGAATAACCCGTTATAGTGTATCCTTCTTTCCTCACACAACCAAACTGTGGAATGGTATGCCTTCTGTGTTTCCACACTCATACAAGCTGTCTCACTTTAAAAAGCTGGTTTCCGGCATCTTCGTGGTGTAGATTAATACAACCTTTTCCTTTTCTATTTTTAATATCTTTTTATTCTCATTTTTTCGTCCCCTAGCTACCACCACTACGACCACTGCAACTACAACCACAGAAGAATCAATTGTAGGTAAGTAAAATATAACTTAACCTCTTGGGTATGATGACTTAACCTCTTGAGTATGATGACTGAGCTACTTGAGTATGATGACTTAACCTCTTGAGTATGATGACTGAGCTACTTGAGTATGATGACTTAACCTCTTGAGTATGAACACATATTATCATTCTAGTCAAGAAAACCAAATATTGAACAAAAAACGCGGGAGACATCAAAAACAAACATTTATTATTGTTTTCCTTCAACGATCGTAAATGTAAAGTATTTCAAAGATAATCAGTATAAACACTAATATTTCAAGGCGGATTAATGTTTATATAGTGTTTATTTATCATTAGGGTCCTTAAAATATACAAAATAATACCCTCATGATCATAAATTATCCATATTAATTATAACTACTTCAAGCATTAACACAAACTAACATCCAGAATTAAGTATTTCAGACAAGAGTCGAGGAGCTGCCCCCACCAGATCTTATTTGTGGTTGGAGGTCAAAATGGACCCCAATCTTAAAAGGCCCCAAGTATAACCTGACCCGATTACCAAGACTGGGGCCCATTTGACCTCTGACCCATCAAGCATAACTCATATTTTTGTCATTCTCTCTCCCTCTCTCTTTCTCTGTCCCGTCGATTTAATACCTTCCATCCTTTCACACATTCTTTGTGTGTCCATCAGAAAAGTGTTAGATAAATATGTTCATGGAAAACTTACTGTACAGTTACTCAAAAAAGTATCTCTACTTGGGGTGATCGATGAATTTCAGAATCAACACTGCGACTCCTGTTGTCTCGGTAGGGTTGTCAAAATCCTTCGTCCCTTGTGTCATATTTTATCAACACAATCTTGTACAGATAGGTTTTGAGTGACTACATATTTATGTTTATGATTGAGAATTATGACAGCGAAAACAGACTTCGTGTACACATTTAGTGTTTATACATGATAGATACAATTATAGAAAAAATGTATGTTAAATTTATGTATTTGTGCTCAATATATATCGATAAAACCCTAACCATACTCACTCTCCTAACTTGTTGATGTATGAAGTCTGCTACAAGTGAGGAGAAATGTATTAAAACAGCAAAATTGTCCTCACTTGTGACAGACCTCACACGCCAACAAGTGTGTGGAGGGGGGGGGGGAGGTACACACAACCATTACTAAGATCATAAAAAGTAAAATTTACCTCAAACACAAAATCACCATTTCACCGTTACTTACAAACAGTCAAGCAATAATTGGTTGATTCATCAATACAATGAAAGTCAGGACAGAACGAAACATTATGACATCACAGCTGGTCGTTTCATGTGAGAAAAACACGAAGATATATGACCCAAAAGGAGAGTTTATTAAGATTTATAAGATTTTTTAAGTTGTGGCCAGAAGCTACGTTGTTTGGGTAGAGCTGTCAGGCTGACTTACTCCTATGACGTCACCACTAGCTGAAACCTGCCATAGTCGTCCAGGAAGGTCTTGTGTTGATGGATGGTTTCTAGTCTGAAAATTGTATGGTTTATAATTTGATAATACAACCTTAAACATATAAAAAATATGTAGGTGTTGGACACAAATTAAATAAAATGCCATCGTGGTAAAGGAATGTTTCTTAACTTACAACATTCTCCTTCGTGGGCAATTCTGAGCCCCAAGGAAGGATTTTTGCAGGCGACTATTCCAAGTTGACAGGCATTACCGTATGTTACGCCGTCCGTGCCACACACAGGGTCGAAGACTTGAATACAGACGTCGGGACAATTCCTCTTCTCTGAAAAGTTTATCCCAGTAATAAAAAAATCCCCTTGTTGGTGCTCGAGCCAGGATATGGTGGTGCTTTATCTGTCTGTCTCTACGTCTGCATAACTTTGTGGATCTTGGCGCGGGATTTAAGTTGTCGGTCCAGTACATATTAAATGTCCAGTGGGCAGTAAGGTCAAGTATCTGTTCCATCTATTAAATTAATTTGTTATCTTAGGTACATATTTATATGTTGTTCTATCTATCTGATTATTTACTTTGTATATATATATATATATATATATATATATATATATATATATATATAAACAATTTAGGTAAACACTGAGTGAAACAGTCACCAGTTGTTTGTCTTCAACAAGACCCAGGTACAGCTAACAGTACTCACAGTCAAACAGACGATAATTACTTAATTATACTAAGATAAGAAGAACTTATATTTAAGGACTTAAGACTAAAGAACGTTGCCTACATTTTCTTGCGTGTATTAAGAGACGCACAGTGATCCATGACTAAATTCCCAAGGACATAACCATGTAAAGACTCACCACAAATACCGTCATGTAGAAACTTGATGCGGCCATTACTTCTGCAGGTTGCTAGCTGGAGGTAACATTTGTTGGAGTAGGTCTTGTGGTCAGTTCCGCAGACCGGCTGGTAAATCTCTATGCAGGAGCTGTTGCAGTAAGCCTCGCTCACTGTAATGTAGGTACAGGTTAAATAGGCCCAAGTTATAATGGATTAACTTCTAATGGGCACCTGCCTATAAAATGACCCAACGTTATCAAATTTAACCAAACTCAACCATTATCATGATGGGCCATTAACCCAGGGGCCTGGCCTAAAGGTTACAGTAAATTGGGGTCTATTAGCGCAGAGACTCACTTGATCGGTGAACTTGTCAACTGAGGTTACAGTATGGTGTCAAATATCATAACTAAATGTAACAAAATAACTTAATCTACTGTATACAACATCACGTACTAAAATATGGTGTTTGATGATGCACAACAAGCACAATGACTTACAAGCCACAAACACAAGCAGTAAGAAGCAGATCATCCCAAGTAGTGAACGAATCATTGTGGTAATTCTTCTCAGTACAGCTGCCACACAACCTCGGGGGAAGAAGGTGCTAAGTTATTGGTCACATTCTATGGCTCGTTGATTTATCTCACGTCATTTTGGCTTCTTTTTGTGTTTTATTCTATTTTCTCTTCTTACTTAAAAATTTGTTTCAATAAGTTAGGTGAAGTTATGTGAATAAATATGACTTTGTTGTTGACAACATGTTGGAAATTATAAGAATGAGGAATATTCACAGTACGAGCCTTAGAGAATGTGGACACTGGTGTTGTACACTTACCTCTGTCTCATGTGACGTCGAGTGAGACACTGATCAAAAATATCCAGAATCTCCGCCTTTATACAAGGACGTGCTCACAATGTGCTCTCCTTGACCTTCAGTTATCAACAAGGTGTAATAACAATTTAACTTGGAAATAATTCTTTCTTTAAACTTTTATTAGACATTTTGTTCTTTTAATTCATTATTATGAAATTTGTTTATAAAACCAGAGCAAAATACTCCAACATTATCATACATTGTCATATGAGGAACCTGGTCTTAGTGAAGTTTTCCTAGTGTTACACCGGGGAATCCCTTCAGTGGCTCGCCTAATATTTTGGTCGTGATTATTGAAAAAAAAAGTAAAATTGTTGATAACTGTGAGTGAGTATGTTTGTCTGTCTTAAGTTAGTTATAAAGAAAATCCTGCCAAACACATATAGATCCAAACAAACACTCACAGATCTACACACATACATAAACACAAAGATTATAACACACACACACACACACACACATGCGGAAAACAAATATACATAGATTATCACGTAAAAAGAAATATACACACATACTCCTACACACAGAAAAAAACACACGAAAACACACACAAATATATGAAGATACACACGTAAATAATGTACACAAAAAAACATAAATATATAAATCACAAAAACAAAAACACACATAAAGTAAAAACGAGAGAAGAGTATTCTTGCTGACACCAACTGTAGAAGCATCGAGGCTACCATTATCCATGAACAACTACGCTGGACTGGCCATGTTACCCGCATGGACGACAGTAGACGCCAAAGCAGCTACTTTACAGTCACCTACTGAATAGTAAACGTAACGCTGACAGGCAACTGAAAAGGTATAAGGATAATCTTAAGACAAACCTGAAAAAGTGACAAATCGACCCCCCTCACCTTGGAGTCGATTACTCCACACAGTAACGCTTGGAGGAGCACCACACGAGAAGGTGTCAATACTTTCGAGCTAGCCCGACTGCATAACGAGGCAGACAACTGCCAACGCTGGAAAGACGCTGCCACCGCCCCTCCTGCACTAGATGCAGTCCCCCTTATGTGCAACGTCTGTGATCGACCCTGCCCGGTCCCGTATCGGCGTCTTTAGTCACCTCAGCACTCACCAACCTAGGTGACAACCTTAATAACTCATATCATTGTATCATAGCCGGATGATCGTCCTACTTGATTCCGAGTGACAACAAAGTAGTAGTAGTGGTGTGTGTGTGTGTGTGGTGGGGTGGGGGGATGAGGTACACACAACCATTACTAAGATCACAAAAGGTAAAATTTACCTCAAACACAAAATCATCCAATTTTCACCTTTATTTACACTCAGTCTGGCAATAATTGGTTAATTCATCAATACAATGAAAGTCAGGACAGAACGAAACATTATGACATCAGAGCTGGTAGTTTAATGTGAGAAAAACACGAGGATATAGGACCCAAAAGGAGAGTTTATTAAGATTTATCAAAAGATGTTTTAAGTTGTGGCCAGAAGCTACGTTGTTTGGGGAGAGCTGTCTGGCTGACTTACTCCTATGACGTCACCACTAGCTGAAACCTGCCATAGGCGTCCAGGAAGGTCTTGTGTTGATGGATGGTTTCTAGTCTGAAAATTTTATAGTTTCTATTACGAAAATTTATGGCGACTAAATTTGGACATTGAATTAGATATAAACTGAAAACGTAACTATCATAGAAAGATAGGTAGAAAGATCGATAGATAGAGATATAGATAAATAGATAGATAAAAAGAAACAATGAAAGAAAGATGTGGCAACTTACAACATGGCCCACGGTGGGCGACTCTTAGCTTGAGATAAGGGTTGTCGCAGGCAGCTCCTAGAAGCTGACATAGGTTGCCATACGTCTTGCCATCCGTGCCACACACTGGCTCATACTCCAGGGTACAGAACTCAGGACACTCTTTCTTCTCTGGAAAGTTACATTAATGAATACAGGTAAACGCAAAAGTGATCCTTAGTTGTTAGATACAGGTGTGTCTATCTTTCTATCTATCTATCGAGGGGAATGAAGAAGAGAAATTAAAAAATATCACTATCAGAAAAGAGGATGTTCTTAAGAAGATAAATAAATTAAAGAAGACAAAATCCCCAGGGCCAGATGAAAATTTCCCTCGAGTTTTGAAAGAGTGTAAGGAACAGATTAGTGGACCCCTCGTAAATTTATTTACAAAATCATTAGAGACGGGAGCTGTACCAGACTTGTGGAAACAGGCAAATGTAGTACCCATATTCAAAAATGCAGGCAGCGAATCAGCGTCAAATTAAAGGCTGACTAGTTTGACGTCAGTAGTGGGGAAATTATTTGAATCAATTATAGCAAATAGCATCCGATCGCATTTAGAGAAAAGCAAATTAATCTACTACTCTCAACATGGGTTTACAAAGGGAAAATCTTTTGTAACAAATCTACTGACATTTTTTAGGAAAGCCTTCGAGGTAGTAGATAATGACGAAAATTACGATGTTATTTACTTAGACTTTAGCAAAGCGTTTGACAGCGTACCGCATCAGAGGCTTCTGAGAAAAGTTAAGGCTCATGGTATCGAGGGGAGGTTTTAAATTGGGTAAAATCATGGCTCACCGATAGAACACAGAGGGTCAGCGGAGATGGTGTTAAATCTGAGTGGGGCTGTGTAACAACTAGTGAGGTTTCCCAGGGGTCAGTACTAGGCCCACTACTGTTCATAATCTACATAAACGATCTAGATACTGGGATCAGCAGTGACATAAGCAAATTTGAGGATGACACCAAAATAGGGCGACATATTAATTCAGGGCAGGATGCAAATGCACTACAGGAGGATTTATATAAACTGAAGGAGTGGACAGAAAAAAATGGCAAATGAAATTCAACACCAGCAAGTGCAGCGTACTTAATACTGGAAGAACAAATACTGTCAAAGTATACAGCATTAACAACATCTCGAAATCCCGAACCTTCGGCCTAGAAAACAGTGCGTTAATGTTCGAAATAAGGAAAACAGAGTATTAAGTTTTATATCCTGAAGTGTAAGTAATAAGAGTTGTGGAGGTCATATTTCAACTATATCTTGCGCTAGTCAGGCCGCACCTCGCTTATGCTGCTAAGTTCTGGTGCCCTTATTATAGAATGGATATCAATTCACTGGAGTCGATGCAGCGAAAAATGACGAAAATTATTCCGGGACTTAGAAACCTTCCATATCAAGATAGATTAAAGAAACTAAACTTGCATTCCCTAGAAAGACGAAGAGTGCGGGGAGACATGATAGAAGTATTTAAGTGGGTGAAAGTAATCAATAAAGGAGATATAGATAAAATTCTTATAATATCCGAGCAGGATAGGACTCGTAGCAACGGATTTAAGTTGGATAAGTTTAGTTTTAGGAGGGAGATAGGAAGGAACTGGTTCACTGTTAGGGTGGTGGACGAGTGTAACAAGCTTAGTAACATTGCAGTAAGTGCTGGAACTCTGGGAAGTTTTAAAAGGAGGCTAGATAGATTCATGAATGACAGAGAGTGGTAGTAACTCTCGACAGGAGCTGCCATGCACAGGCCAACCGGCCTATTGCAGACTGCTTATTTTCTCATGTTCTTATGTTCTCTCCGTCTGCATAACTTTGTTGATTTTGGCTCAGGATTTAAGTTGTTGCTTCAGTGTAAATTAAATCTCCAGTGAGCAGTAAGGTCAAGTATCTGTTCCATGTATTCATTTAATTTGTTTATCTTAGCTATATATCTATGTTGTTCTATCTATCAGTTGCTCTTTCTTTGTACTATAGCTCTGTACACACACACACACACACACACACACACACACACACACACACACACACATACACACACCTATATATATATATATATATATATATATATATATATATATATATATATATATATATATATATATATATATATATATATATATATATATATATATATAAACAATTTAGGTGAACACTGAGTGAAACAGTCACCAGTTGTTTGTCGTCAACAAGACCCAAGTACAGCTAACAGTACTCACAGTCAAACAGACGATAATTACTTACTTATACTAAGATAAGAAGAACTTATATTTAAGGCCTTAAGACTAAAGAACGTTGCCTACATATTCTTGCGTGTATTAAGAGACGCACAGTGATCCATGACTAAATTCCCAAGGACATAACCATGTACTGACTCACCACAAGCACCGTCATGTAGAAACTTGATGCGGCCATTACTTCTGCAGGTTGCTAGCTGGAGGTAACATTTGTTGTCGTAGGTCTTGTGGTCAGTTCCGCAGACCGGCTGGTAAATCTCTATGCAGGAGCTGTTGCAGTAAGCCTCGCTCACTGTAATGTAGGTACAGGTTAAATAGGCCCAAGTTATAATGGATTAACTTCTAATGGGCACCTGCCTATAAAATGACCCAACGTTATCAAATTTAACCAAAGTCAACCATTATCATGATGGGCCATTAACCCAGGGGCCTGGCCTAAAGGTTACAGTAAATTGGGGTCTATTAGCGCAGAGACTCACTTGATCGGTGAACTTGTCAATTGAGGTTACAGTATGGTGTCAAATATCATAACTAAATGTAACAAAATAACTTAATCTACTGTATACAACATCACGTACTAAAATATGGTGTTTGATGATGCACAACAAGCACAATGACTTACAAGCCACAAACACAAGCAGTAAGAAGCAGATCATCCCAAGTAGTGAACGAATCATTGTGGTAATTCTTCTCAGTACAGCTGCCACACAACCTCGGGGGAAGAAGGGGCTAAGTTATTGGTCACATTCTATGGCTCATTGATTTATCTCACGTCATTTTGGCTTCTTTTTGTGTTTTATTCTATTTTCTCTTCTTACTTAAAAATTTTTTTCAATAAGTTAGGTGAAGTTATGTGAATAAATATGACTTTGTTGTTGACAACATGTTGGAAATTATATGAGGAATATTCACAGTACGAGCCTTAGAGAATGTGGACACTGGTGTGGTACACTTACCTCTGTCTCATGTGACGTCGAGTGAGACACTGATGAAAAATATCCAGAATCTCCGCCTTTATACAAAGACGTGCTCACAATGTGCTCTCCTTGACCTTCAGTTATCAACAAGGTGTAATGACAATTTAACTTGGAAATAATTCTTTCTATAAACTTTGACTCGACATTTTGTACTTCTGATTCATTATTATCGATCTTGTTTATTAAACCAGAGCAAAATACTCCTGCATTTTTTTAACCTTTAGTTAATACAAATATACCTACCTACTCCTACGCACACACTATTCACACACACACATATATATATATATATATATATATATATATATATATATATATATATATATATATATATATATATATATATATATATATATATATATATATATATATATAAACAATAAGCACACGCTCATTCTTACACACACACACACACACACATTACTAAAACAAGTTTTTATTAAGGTTTCCATACAAATTTACTGACTGAAGTACATTTACTTACTTATAAGACTTCCTCGTTCTTGTCCCTTTAATGATGGGAAAACATTAAGGAGGAGATCTGACTGACTCAGTTATCGTGGAGATGAGCGAGTTATCCATCATGTGGCAACATTGTTTTGTTTTCGTGAGTGCGCGCTAAAAGTGAAGTATGAAATAGAGTAAGGAAGTAGGAATCTACACCACTTGAGATAGGAGAAAGTTCCCTCACCTCGCCCTTTACATGTGGCCCACAACAATATGATGATACAGTCCAGCCCATATTGTCTCTTGTATGATTGAGTAAGATGTCATAAAACGAACATTGACTTGTGATACTAAGAACCTTGTTATAATGGCGTTACGGTATAGCATGGCACCGAGCGATTCGCTGTTCTTTATGTCTCTGTTATTAATACAGTATGTGCTTAGAGCAGACTTGCACAACCTATATGTAATAATCGGTTGCATTACAAAAAAATCTGTAATCGACCGCTGTCATCCCATTGTAATTATGTGATATATTAAGTTCGGAAAAAACATGATATTGGGTATGATGACATATAGAAGTATACCACATATTTAAACGAGTATTGGTATAAAGAACACAAATATGTTACCTATTGGCTGGTTATAAATAAAATTTTAATACAAAGGAAATAATTAATAAGACACGAAACTTGAGACTGGATTTCCTCTGACACCAAACCTTGAAAACACCCTGAAATCTTTCTCGTTTCACTGTTACCTGGAGCGCCTTTTTTCTTTTAGATTTTCAACAATGATTCCGGGTTGTGAATTAGTTTCAGGATATTTATTTGAAGGTCCAGGAGCTCCAATGTCATCAAGATTTCCTTCGTCAAACTGTGGTTAACTATGACTGACCTCGTCTGCTTAAATAGAAAAGGATTGAAATAAATGAGAAGAGCAATTTTCTTGCGCTGAAAATCATAAAAAAAAAGCTCGCTCAGGTGTTTAGGTGTTTGCTGCATCAAGTGTTCAAACAGTCTTATCTAACCTTCTTAACTTTGCTTGCTGGTCATCACACATCCTGGATATCGTCATGAGGGTTGTGGACTCTTGTTTAAAAGGTATATATGTTTTTGTTTTCAAAATATTGTGTGTTTAAAAGAATAAATACCTTTATCACATATCGTTTACTTCCTTGTTACTTAATACTTGAGGATAGTGTCTCTTTCACCTAGCTGGGTGGGCTCGCTGCACTCGGCATGTTTCCTCACCCACAACTTCTTGGACCCCTTTTTGATATTCCTGGATCCGCCTCTGGGTAAACTTGATGGTAAGTTTATTTTGTTTATTAATGAAAAGTAAAAAGCAAGAGCAGACGGTAACTCGTAGCTTCCTCGGTGACAGTGTTGAGTTGTTCAGCTCTGGCAGTAATGAATTTACAGACCAACCACGAATGTAAAAAATAAAGCGTCTTAAGTATAGTTATGATGTTTAAATGACCAAGATCACTAAGTCATCAAAAATTAAACTACGAGAAGTTAAATATGAAGTACAGACACCTGCACTTATACCTGGTACAGTGGCTGGCATCTTTTGTAAGATGTGGCAACTCTGTGGAATGCTTCTCTAGCATCCTTAGTCTGGCTACTGTTACCAGGCTCCTCAGGGCCATTCCGGGAGTTTTAATACAATTTAAACAAACAAGGAGGTGCCACATCTCACAAAATGCGCCAGCCGCTGTATAATTGCAGGCAGGTGACTCTACATTTGACAACAAGAACTTGACGTCCTTTTACAGATGATGACTTTAGTGTGTAGGCATAAAGTAGGTACTCCATAGCTTTGTCCGGATGCTGTGAAGAAATTTGAAATCATAAGTGTAGATCACGTGAGAGTAAAACGCAGAGTTACCGAGTTGTCAAGTGATATATTTAGGCAGTTAAAACAAAGAGGGAAGAATCTTGTGTTCTCTTCCTCAACACCTGACCAAATAACTGACGTGTTATCGACGATTAGTATTAGTGTGGAGTGTAAAGTAAGATTTTATAAGTCATGAAGAACTTGTTGGCCTCAGTTTACTTGAAGGTCAAACAAAAGGGAATGATTCACTAAGTGGACATTTGGTGCAGTGTCGTGTTATTAAGCTAGCAACTAAGGAAGCTCCTGGAATTGTCCTATTGTTGATCAAGCTTCTTGGTAAACCCATTCAGTTTCACTGCATTGTACACCAGTGGAAATTGTGAAGTTTAATATTTGAACTTTGAGAATGTGATGGAAGTTGTTGTTTCACTCAAAAACTTCATAAAATCGCGAGTTTTAAACCATAGACAATTTCATTTGTTTCTAAACGTGATCGAACCTGACTACGAGTAAAGTGATGTTCTTTTCGTCACACAAGTCAGGTGGCTAGGAAGGAAAGTACGCTGCCAAGTTTGATTGACCTGTTGGAGGAGTGATGTACAGTAGCCTTTCTCGTAGATATTATCGGTCATATACATAGGTCAAATACTCTAACTTCAAGGAAATAACCAACTTCTTTCACATCTTGTACGTACATCACTATCAGCTTTCCAATACCATCTTGAGCTGTTTCATTCACAGCTTCAAGATGAATTACCTCATCTTAAAATCCACAAAAATCTACGTAAATAACACAATGGCAATAATAAAAAAATGAAACCTACGCCAAAAATATCTCAATTCCTTAATTATTTAACAAACGATTCCAAGACTTAAAGATCAAGAAGGAAAATTTACAACTGTTTAAGAGATCTTCCTCCCAGTCTCTTGATGAAGCTAAACCAGAGATACAGTTAGACCTGACTGATCTACAACACTGTCACACACTTCTCTCCAACCTAACCTAACCACAAGCTCAGAACCAATATGAGAAGACACCAGTTTATGTATGTTTATTCAGTTCCATTTATTTCTGTCACAAAACACGGCCATCCCTTTACTGCCTGGCGACAAGTGAATAGATTCCCACTATCATAATTCTCGGTTTAGAAATTCAATACCAATAAAAGTCATACTATTGAAGCCAGTTAAAGATGATGACATATATCTTCTTCATTGTATAATTTTAGGAATACTAAATAATACTGTATAACGAAATCAACCTAATGAGTATTATTTCATTTCAAAGCTAGTGTAGTGTTTAACCTGTAGCTTAAAGGCATTATAAATGAAACATAACCACAAAATATTACTTAAAATATTACAACAAATTACTATATAAATTATTACCTTAAATATTACCTAAAATATTACATAATTTATTCCTAACTCTAAGAATTACGGCATATAACTTCGTCTATTGGTCCGGCCCAGGAAATAAACAGTTTGTGTATAATTATGTATGTGAATGAGTGTATATGTTTGTGTTTGTGACTGGGTGTGTATATGCTTGTGTGTGTGTGTGTGTGTGTGTGTGTGTGTGTGTGTGTGTGTGTGTGTGTTTGGAACTTTGTGACTTTGTGTGATATCAGTCAAAATAGTCCACGTGGAACAGTGTATGTCTGTAGGTACTGTATGTCCGTCGAACCATATAGAATTTTTTTAATTAGAATCTAAAAAAAAAAAACACCAAATACTGTATAAACCAAACACAAACAAGAGTAATTACTAATAAAACATTCAAAATTGACTTAGGATAAACAAACAATAGCCATACACTCAGACATACTCAGACATACTCAGACATACATAGTGTGAGTGATAATATCCGGGAGTCACTGAGAACGCTCCCCTTTCATTGTTGTCCTCCTCAACTTTCACTAAAACAAGTTTCCACGTATGACAATGTATGCAAATGTATTAAAATGTATTTGCCTCTCTTTCCATAAATCCATTACTTCAATTTGACGCAAAAGTATAAATTCGTTAGTAAAAATACAAAATTGGATTTATTTCAATGTTAATTTAGTCTTATAGCTCGTAATGTACTGGTAGTTTGGGATGATAATTGTCTGATTTATGGCACTTGGCAACTTATTATCTGGGGCACATATACAGTCCAAGGTTCTTTGTGTTTTTGATGAGTGACTCTCTGGAAGTCTCCGAAGTAAGAGGTGAGTAGACGAAACCAGTTAGTTGACTCTTAAAGGCTTATGTATGGTGAGTCGTCCTGGTAAGTGATGCGGTAACATAACTTTATAAGAATTGGAGCCAAATTTATACTTTAAAAACAGAAATTTTATACGTTTCCTCAGCATCGGTTCAGTGACAAAATAAACAAATTAAAAACAAATTAGAAAAATAAGGAAATTACACAAATAAGAATAAAGTAATTTTGATTTTTTTTGTTCCATAATCACATGTAGGATTTATTACTGTCGAAATTATTTCACAAGTCATTATAGAATATTCATGACATCATTATTGATAGCGATATTAATGACAAAAGTAAAAATAAAAAATAATAGCAATTATCAATAACTCTAACATTAATAATAATAATACCAATAGAGATTATTATTATTATTATTATTATTATTATTATTATTATTATTATTATTATTACTACTACTACTACTACTGCAGCATCCTACATGTCAACAACAAAGTCATATTTATTCACATAACTTCACCTAACTTATTAAAACAAAGTTATAAGTAAGAAGAGAAAATAGAATAAAACAGAATTAGAAGCCATAGAGGTGACCAATAACTTAGCACGTTCTTCCCCCGAGGTTGTGTGGCAGCTGTACTGAGAAGAATTACCACAATGATTCGTTCACTACTTGGGATGATCTGCTTCTTACTGCTGTGTTTGTGGCTTGTAAGTCATTGTGCTTGTTGTGCATCATCAAACACCATATTTTAGTACGTGATGTTGTATACAGTAGATTAAGTTATTTTGTTACATTTAGTTATGATATTTGACACCATACTGTAACCTCAGTTGACAAGTTCACCGATCAAGTGAGTCTCTGCGCTAATAGACCCCAATTTACTGTAACCTTTAGGCCAGACCCCTGGGTTAATGGCCCATCATGATAATGGTTGAGTTTGGTGAGTTTGGTTGGTTTCTATTAAGTTGGGATCTTTTAAGGCTGGTGCCTATAAGAAATGTAGCTTATTAGAACTAGGGCCAATTATTACCTGGGTTCATTTCACCTGTACCCACATTTCAGCAAGCAGCGCCCACTGCCCCTTCATCTGCCCTATTGTCTACAAGCCGGTGTGCGGAACTGACAACAACACTTACAACAATTACTGTCAGCTTCAGCAAGTAGCCTGTAGGACCAACGTACTGAAGCAGCATAATGGTCCCTGTAGTGAGTAGCTAATACACGATGTTGTGTTTCTGAATGCAAACACTCGATACTTTGCTTTAATTAAAATATATTCATAAAAGCCTCATTATTTGGTTAATGCTAGCAGGTAGAAAATTGGTTCTTTCGTTGATATTTAAAGTAATCCAGCAATATTTTGACCCTAGCACAGAGTGAGCACGTTAGTTACGATTGGTTGGCTTACTTTTGTCTTAAAGCATTCAAGCAAAGATCTTTTTATCTTAGTGTAATTAAAAACAATTCGACTGGATGCCTGGGAGTGCTTTTAAAACGACTTGGAGAGAGAGAGAGAGAGAGAGAGAGAGAGAGAGAGAGAGGGAGAGAGAGAGAGAGAGAGATACACACACCTGTATCTAACAACTAAGGATCACTTTAGCGTTTACCTGTATTCATCAATGTAACTTTCCAGAGAAGAAAGAGTGTCCTAAGTTCTGTACCCTGGAGTATGAGCCAGTGTGTGGCACGGATGGCAAGACGTATGGCAACCTATGTCAGCTTCGAGGAGCTGCCTGCGACAACCCTTATCTCAGGCTAAGAGTCGCCCACCGTGGGCCATGTTGTAAGTTGCCACATCTTTCTTTCATTGTTTCTTTTTATCTGTCTATTTATCTATCTATCTATCTATCGATCTCTCTATCTATCTTTCTATGATAGTTACGTTTTCAGTTTATATCTTATTCAATGTCCAAATTTAGTAGCCATAAATTGTCGTAATAGAAACCATATAATTTTCAGACTAGAAACCATCCATCAACACAAGACCTTCCTGGACGCCTATGGCAGGTTTCAGCTAGTGGTGACGTCATAGGAGTAAGTCAGCCAGACAGCTCTCCCCAAACAACGTAGCTTCTGGCCACAACTTAAAACATCTTTTGATAAATCTTAATAAACTCTCCTTTTGGGTCATATATCTTCGTGTTTTTCTCACATTAAACGACCAGCTCTGATGTCATAATGTTTCGTTCTGTCGTGACTTTCATTGTATTGATGAATCAACCAATTATTGCCAGACTGAGTGTAAATAAAGGTGAAAATTGGATGATTTGGTGTTTGAGGTAAATTTTACCTTTTGTGATCTTAGTAATGGTCGTGTGTACCTCATCACCCCACCCCACCACACACACACACACACACACACTACTACTACTACTTTGTTGTCACTCGGAATCAAGTATGACGATCATCCAGCTATGGTAAAATGATATGAGTTATAAGGGATGTCACCTAGGTTGGTGAGTTTTGAGGTGACTATAGAGCCCCGCAGGGTCGTCCACATTTGTTGCACATGTGGAGGGCTCCATCTCCTGTGGGGGGGACGGTGGCAGCGTCTTTCCGACGTTGGCGCTTATCTGCCTCGCTTTGCAGTCGAGCTAACTCGAAAGTATTGACACCTTCCCGTGTGGTGCTCCTCCAAACGTTACGATGTGGAGTATTCAACTCCAAGGTGAGGGGGTCGATTTGGCACCTTTTCAGGTTTGTCTTATGGCTATCCTTATACAGTATCATTTGCCCGCCAGCGTTACGTTTACTATTCGTTAGGTGACTGTAAAGTAGCTGCTTTGGGAGTCTACTGTCGTCCATGCGGGTAACATGGCCAGTCCAACGTAGGTGTTCATGGATAATGATAGCCTCGATGCTCCTACAGTTGGTGTCGGCAAGAATACTGGCATTTGTTCGCTTGTCTTCCCAGCGAACTCGGAGGATGGAACGTAGACTACGTTGGTGAAAGTTTTCAAGTGCCTTGAGGTGCCTCCTGTATGTGATCCATGTCTCACTGCCATATAGTAGGGTGGGTAGGATCTCTGCTCGATATACGTGCAACTTTGTGGATAATTTCAGCTCCCTACAGCTGAAGACACGATTTCGGAGTCCACCCAAGGCGTGAGATGCACTTCTGATCCGATGCTGAACTTCTTCATCGATGTCTTCAGTGGTGGACAGGTGGGAGCCGAGATACCGAAAGTGGGTAACATTAGAGAGGGAAGTACCGTTAAGCTGGATGGATGGTGGAGGTGTGTCTGAACCAGGGGCAGGTTGAAAGAGAATCTGAGTCTTACGTACATTCACCTCAAGGCCGAAGTGTGCATACGCGTCTGCATAGGTGTTCAGGATCTCCTATAGGTCGTGTTCAGTGTGAGCAACAAGGGTGAGGTCGTCCGCATACTGAAGTTCAGTCATGGAAGCTGCCGACACCTTTGTTCTTGCCTGGAGTCATCTTATGTTGAAAAGACCCCCCCCCCCTTTACTCGGTACTCGATGTTCACCTAGCTGGCTAAATTGGCACTGGCACGAGTAAAGAAGGCAGCCAAGAAGATGGAAAAGAGAGTTGGTGCCAGTACACACCCTTGCTTAACCCCTGTTTGGATGGGGAAGAACTCTGACTAGATTCCGTTGTGCAGGACACTGCCGTTCATGCCACCGTAGAGTTGCCTCACAATGGCGGTGAATTTTGGTAGGCAACCTAAACGGCTGAGGGTCCACCAGAGGGCTTCCCTGTTGACCGAGTCGAAGGCCTTGGTTAGATCGAAGAAAGCCGTGTTCAGTTCACGGCACTGTTCCCTGCACTTTTCCTGTATCTGGCAGACAACAGAGATCATGTCAGTGGTGCCATGTAATGGTCTAAAACCACATTGAGATTCTAGGACGAAGTTTTCAGCCTCAGGAAGAAGTCTGTTTAGGAGGACTCTGGCTATAATCTTGCCAGCTACGGAGAGCAGCAAGATCCCATGGTGGTTGCCACAATCTGACCGGTTCCCCTTGTTCTTATAAATATTGACAATGGAGGCATCTTTAAGAGCTTGGGGATTTCCTCCTTTTCCCATATATTCTCCAGGAGAGAGTTGAGACGGCTGGTAAGTAGAGGTCCTCCTCCTTTATTCACCTCGGCTGGGATTCCGTCAGGCCCTGAGGCTTTGTTATTTTTCATATGTTTGATGGCAATAGCTACTCCATTCAGGGTGGGTCAGCTCTGGATGCTGAGGGATCTGTTGGGTAGTCAGGACATCCACATCGGTGCTTCGGTAGAGCAATGACTGGTAGTGCTCTTTCCTGCGCTGGAGGATGACTTCGTCGTCTTTAATTATGTGGTTACCGTCAGATGAGCGGAAGGGGGCTGTGCCACGAGTTACTGGCCCATAAAATGCTTTAGTGGAAATGAAAAATTCTCGCATCTTGTGCTGATCTGCAAGTTTTTGTGCTACACATGCTTTAATTTTAACCTAGTCGTTCTTTAGATTGTGAAGTTCCCGCTGGGCTGCCGCTTTCTTCTTGCGGAAGGTATCAGCTTTGGTCCGAGATTGAGGGTTGTTCTGCCAGTCAGTAAAAGCAGCACGTTTATCATCGATGTGTACTTTCATTGCCGCGTCATTTTCATCAAACCAGTCCTGGTGTATTCTTTAGAACTGGCCGAGGGTCTTTCTGCAGGTCTTTGTCATAACAGTATTAAGAGTATCCCATTCGGCACTGGGATTCACGTTGTTTGCTCTTGGGTTGTTTATAAGCCCATGTTCGAGCTGCTCTCTGAAAGCATGTGCTACCGCTGGATCCTTCAGACGCTTAGTATTAAAACCTCTTTTGGAGGCTTGCTGCCTTCGACGTTTTGGGGCTACTTGAAGTGAGAGCTTGGATGTGACAAGTCGATGATCAGTGTCACAGTGGTCTGAGCAGCGCATGGAACGGGTGATGAGGATATCTCGGCGATCTCTTTCTCTGACAATGATGTAGTCAATGAGATGCCAGTGTTTGGATCATGGGCGTTGCCACGATCCCTTAAACTTGTCGGCCTGCCTAAGCAAGGTATTGGTGATAGTGAGGTTGTGAGCAGCTCACTTGCTGAGATTGAGTAGGCCATTGGGATTACACTTGCCTAGTCCATTTCTCCCTATGGTTCCCTGCCAAATGTCAGCATCTCTGCCAAGTCTGACATTGAAGCCACCAAGGAGCACAACCTAGTCTTCTCTGGGGATAGAGGTTAGCACTCTCTCGAGGTCGGCGTAAAAGGCCTCCTTGATGTCATCCTCTGCATCCAGTGTTGGGGCGCATGCACTGATGAAAAAAGCATGACGTGAGTGATTCAGTGGGACTCGAAGCATTATGAGGCGCTCGTTGATCCCAAAAGGCATTTCAGTTAGCCTGTGTAGGATGCGTTGGCGGATGGCAAAGTCAACTCCATACATGCGGTTTCTCTCCGCAGCAGGCTTACCATTCCAGAAGAAGGTGTAGCCAGACCCCCGTTCTGTGAGTTGGCCCTTATCTGGGAGCCGGGACTCACTGATGGCTGCTATGTCGATGTTAAACCTAGCCAGCTCTTTTGCCACAAGGGCAGTTCTCCTTTCAGGATGCGCATTTGTGCCAGTATCCAGAAGGATCCTGACATTCCATGGAGTTGTATGTCTTGTTTTTGTTTGGAGTTGTGATTTTGATTGTGTTTTCGACCCCATAAGGATGACCTTACTGGGTGCGATTGCCCCGTCACGTTGGGTTTTTAGGCAGGCTAGGTTTAGGGCACCTTTTCTAGCCCCCTCCCCTTTTGGGGTGAGCAGAGTGGCTCCTCGTAAGGGCTGCTCATTCACACAGATAGGACCGGATTGCACTGCTGCCTAGATTCCAGTGCATAAACGACCATCTTATCTGTGCCGCCCATGTGCAGAGTTGTAACTAGAGATTCCCGGCAGTCTGCTCTGCCTGTCCCCGTCACCACTCATCCATCGCCATTGGTTTTGGGGGAAAAGGAGTTTTGTTGATGATGAGAAGTATGATGAGTTGGATGATGGCTGCGCGTGTGAGTTGATTTATGTGGTGAGGCAGGTTACAAGCTGCAACCACACATCTTGGCTTCCTTTTCCTGATCCAGTGGTGCAAGTGTTGCAACGACTGGGGAGAGGGAGAGCTGCAATGGATTGCCGATAGCCCAATATGTTGGGTTTCGCCTTAGTGGCTTGTCCATCAGGCATTGCCTTCGTTTGCTGGTGTAGTCGTTGGGTTTCCATGGTGGTCACCTCTTCCGCCTACACAGCCGTTGGGGTTTTTTTGGAGCTCTGTAAGCATGTCTGCCTGATGCGGTCCTCCACTGCAGATTTTTCGTTTGAGGTTTACTCCCATAGCCTTATACCTGCCAAGGTTAATCCACAAGGCAGCGGGGCGGCGGTTGGTAGGCGCCAGGACGTATCCACATGCCAGTGAGCCTGTGCGCCATCGCTCTGGGCCCACTGCTACTCGGAGATCCCCTGCTGATCTAGCCTGGGCCCACGAGGCACCCAGCTACCGTGTGTTGCCACGAAAAGGCACAGCAGGAGTCTTAAGGCACAGCAGGTCTTGATGGTGAGGAGGCTGTGTACTGGCAGCCGGAAGACACAGAACACACACACACACACACACACACACACACACACACACACACACACACACCACACACATACACTCTCTACAGGTAACAAAATAATTGTCCTAAGGCAAACATAAGGAATATACATTATACATTTCTTTGTGCACAAGTAAAGTGTACATCTCCCCCCTCAGTGAACAGAGGCCCCCTGTACTCGATTTTGAGTGACAGCAAAGTGGTAGTGTGTGTGTGTAGTGTAGTGTAGTGTAGTGTAGTGTAGTGTAGTGAATGTAGTGTAATGTAGTAAGCAAAACCAAAGAACAACTACTTGCCTCGCATCTCACCACTAATATGAGGATAAAGGTAACTTAACAAGTCTTACGTGTAACAATCTCCGTCAAGAATCTGTCATGAGACTCTCGTAACACGTCTGCCATGGATGAAGTAGAGAGAGGTGGCTGGACAGACACATGGAAAGAGACACAAGCACACATATACTGTAAACATAAATTCTTACCAGAAATTTGCCTTATTAAGCTGCTCATAATAAAGTGACTCATCATTGAAGGGGCCCACGTGCAGGTCGC